TCGGCGCCGTCGACGAGCGCCGGCGCGTCGCTCGCGCCGGGCGGCGCGCACGTCTAGCTGGCGCGCCCGCGCGAGACGGAGGGCTGGAGGGAGGCGAGGGCGGAGGCGAGGGGGGAGGAGAGAGCGGAGAAGCGGGCGGGGAAGCGGGCGCAGGAGGGCCCGGAAGGCGGAGGGGAGAGTCACGGCGAGAGCAGGCTGGAGCGCGGCAGGAGGCGGCGGCGTGCGCGGATGGCGGCGGTGCACGCGCGGGTGGCGGAGAAGCGGAAGGCGCCGGCTGCGGCCGCGCCGAACGCCACGGCGGTGCTGGGGGCGGCGCCGCCGCCGACGAGCTCCGGCGCGCGCGGCACGCGCGGCGGCGGCGGCAAGAAGGCGGCGGCGGGGAAGAAGAAGAAGAAGCGGGCGGGCGTGGGCGAGTTTCGCGGGGCGCGTAGCGGCACGGGGGACGGGATGGTGCGCGGGCAGAATGTGACGCGCGTGAGCTACACGGTGTACAAGATCATGAAGCTGTTCGGCTTCGCGTCGGTGACGGACTCGCCGGCCGGGGCGCACGCGGAGTGGATGCGCGAGGTGGTGCGGCGCATGGCGTACGACGCGCCGTTCTTCCGGTACGTGGCCGTGGACAGGGACGAGAAGGGGCTCGCCAGGGCAAGGGAGGCGACGAGCGAGGTGGTGGACGGGGAGTACGTGGTGGGGGACGTGGAGAAGGAGATGCCCAGGCGCACGGAGGTGGTGCTGCACTGGACGGAGCTGGACGGGAGCGAGCGGGATGCGCGGAGCCGGGAGTACGTGAGGCATGTAGCTCGGGTGATGAGGGCGGCGAAGACGAAGGGGTGCGGGTACTTTGTGACCGGGCAGTTCCCGCGGCTGAACGGGCCCAGCCCGGCGTTCCGCAAGGGGAAGTGGAGGTTTGTCGGGACGGACGAGGAGGAGCCGTTCTTGTTCAACGACCACGTGCGCGGGGTGGTGCCGATGGGCGCGGGGGGGAAGGCGTACATGCTGTACCTGACGTTCTACAGCTTGAAGAGCATCCCGGCCGAGGCGCTGGAGGCGGTGGTGTAGGGGAGGCGCGGGGAGTAGGAGGGGAGTAGGAGCATGGGCAGGAGGGTGTCGGGATGACGAGCACAGGGGGGGACGAGATGTTCGTGGGTGGTGTGGGTGGCCAGTGCAGTCGCGCCACGTGCGCGGATGGGCGGATTGGCTAAATAAAGAACGGGCGGTGGCGTCACTTACAGACTTACACGCAGCTGTTGGAGCCGTTCGCGCGTCGTGGTGGCGTGACGCCGCAATCAACGCCCCCGAGATCTCCCGCCGCCCGTTTGTCAGCCCCCGCGGGACACCTGTCCCGCCCACCATCCCGTTACGCCGCCCGCCCATTGGCCCGCCCCCTTGCGTATAGATTTCACATAAAACG